CAAAGACCCCACAGCTTTAAAAGTCGGGAACACAGGAAACAAATGCAAAAATCGGGGTGTAGTTCCTTCTTTTTTTTTTGGGGGGGGGGGGGGGATATCCCCCTGAATTTTGAGACACACCCATGTTCGTAACTTTGACTTTTTGTGTTTTTATTTCATTGTTAAACTCATTAAACACATTGTTTTGCAATATTTCGTCTCATTTTGTAATTATTATGTCAAACATGTTTTTTGCCAAACATAAAGCTCATTAAACACATTCTTGCTCAATAAGTGTTTCTCCTTTTTTAGTTTCAAAAAAAAACTGGGTGTCTGCTGGCCCTTCCGAACCTCCGATTCCCCGACTCCGATCGCCTCCTCTAGGGCCGCGGGAGCACCGGCAATGTCCGCGCGCCAGCAGGCGGACAAGTTCCCTGCGCCGAAAGGGCTGCCCGTTGTCTGATCAAAGTGACTCAGACTGTGCGGGAAAAAAATCGGAAGCCACCAGTTGTCCGATGCCCGGCTAAAAGTGACTCACAACTTATGGTGAAATTCGGAAACTACCACGAAACCAAGTAAAAACAACTGAAAACCTAAGGAACCGGATGGCTGGGAACCACCAAGAAACTTTGAGGTGCCTTTGTGAAGCCTTCAACGGTACTGGATGTTGCGGCGGCCGCTGTGAAATCTTGCTGATCTTGCTGTTCTTGCTCTTGCGGTTTGTGGTGCTCTTTGTCGTTGCTTCGCTTGTTGCTCACATTGACGTTCTTGTTCACCTTCACTTGTTTCTCTCCTGATTATTGTTCCTGCCTGTTTCTGTTGTGATTATTGTTGCCAATCGTTTGCATTAACCTGAACCGCACCTGCGCCTAAATCTGCTGCATGCTGTGCTGCCGGTTCCAACGCTCTGTGAAGCCCTCAGAACCTCCTGTGAATGTCAAGTTCTAGAAGTGACAAACTAGTCATTTGTTGGGTAGATGAACATGTCCAGACGGTGTTGCCGATGGGTGCCCAGAAGTTAGAATATCCAGACAAACACGTGCCTTGTAGTGTCAAGACAGTGTTTGAAACATGTGTTGCTTTTATAATGTTGATGGATTTTGTTACGCTTTCCAACGTGCTGACCACAACTAACTACATCTTCAATGTCATTTCCGTTTTCTTGATTCTATGTTGTTCGGTGATTTGGGCCATTGTTCGATGATTTTGGCCATGTCTCGCAACATGTGAAATTGTCAACTTATTGGCGTCGGTGGCCTTCGCCACTCAAGCTTACTTTTATGATATCATGAAATGGTGATTCTGTCATTCCATGTTCATGTGCAGTGTGGCACAATCAGGTTGATTTTATCTATCATATTCCGATGTATTCACATGATGCACTTGACATTGTATCGCAGATGTGCATGTCAGCACCAATGCCATCCGAGTAAGACAATGCTTCAGTTGTTTTCTTTTTTTTCTGGTGCATGTTATTCTGCTGAACTGACACAATAGCTCAAAATATGGCCCTCACATTTATAGTCTAGGCACTGTATCTCATTTGAGTAGATCACAGAACTGACATGTTCTGTTGTCTTGACACTTTGTTTGTTTGATGTTTTAGCATTTATGTTGCCCGATGTCTTGCCAAAGGGCAGTCGCTACCATTGGAAGACATAGACTTGACATCTGAGGGTTGGATGATCATCAACCACAAACACGACATTGGTCAGATGAAATGGATCATGCCCATACTCATGCGTCAAAGGTCCCTTCAAGCCAACCTGACCTGACCCCAAAAACCCAGGCGGGTGCCTGCTGGCTGGGCAAAGTTGAGATACTTCACTCCAGGCCTCGCTTGAGGCGTGCGTGAGCCACGTGCGTTTCGAAAACGTGGCCATGAAGATCAAAGGGTTCCTCTCAGAAGCGATGCGCCAAAAGAAGAAAACACCATGGAGACGACGTCTCCAGAGAAGGAGCCCAACATGTCTATCAACAACGCTCAAAAACAGACGGAACAAGATCATGGTGTCTTGGGAGCCTGCCTTGCCAGGATGTCGGGGCGCAGGGCCTTCGCATGTCTGCGCAAGATCTGAGAGGGAGTGGGGCACCATGCCACGGGTGGCGCCATGGCAAATCCAACTCCGTGCCGGCGGAGGAGGGGGGGGTCGTTTTTTGAGGTACCCTGTTCTAGTGCGCTCGCTTCAAAGGGAAACCAAAGGGAAAGCCGTCGCGCCATTTTCGGGTCCTGTAAAAAACGTTTCCGTCACGCCCAAAGCAGGCCTCGACCTGTGCAGCACAGCTGGGCAACACGTCCAGCAAGAGGACCTCTAAGGCACTGAAGGCACGACGATTTCGGCATAGGTCGTTCTTTTTCACACTTCTGGGAGGTGTTCAAGGGAAGCCCAAGGGAAATCCCACGAATTTTGGAGGGTCCCCTAAAATAACACACCCACACACAACATGGCTTCTGAGATCAACTGTAAATCGCACCATCCCTACTGATTGGGCCTCTTCGGTTGCAAGAACAGGGACGCCAGGAATCTCCACCTACCGCCGCTCTGGCCGAATTGCTTTTCTACCCACCCGCATCTATGCTTTCGGTCCCGGGTAGAGGTGTATCTTTTTTCGGGAACCCTCAAAAAGGCTTCGGAATTCCTTTCGGTCTTCCTTTAAACCAAACCAAAGAAGTGTACCCCCCGAAAAAACAGAGGCCGCCATGAGGAATTTGCTAAGGATCCCCCCAAACAAATCTGAAAGGCGCGCCACAGCCTTGCAACCACAGCTTTGCCTTCACAGCGTCTTGCTGGACGGCGTGCTTCTGTGGTAAGCCCGGCGCCTGAGTGCCAAGAAACAAAGTTTGTCCTTTGAGAGTACGCTTTTGTGAGGCGTTTAAAGGGAAACCAAGACGAAAACAACCACCTGTATTTTTTTTGGGGTGGGTGGGGCGCCAAGCAGGGCTGCAGCTAACGCACGCACACTTTCTTTGTAGAGAGAACAAGGTGGGTGTGAATCTTCATAGGATATTTGTTGTTGGGACATCAAAACTGGAGGTTCATGTGCAGCTACTTTTGCAGACCCCGCCCCTCTTAAAATTCATCGTCAGGTCCGTCAGTCCAAGCCAGGCGCCCCTGTTGGCATCGGCGCCTAGCAAGCAACCCATTGGCGATCGCCCAAAAGTCTTGGGATCTCCCGGTAAAACCAAAGAAACTCCCTCATGGGTGTGTCTTGTATGATGCTGACCCCCCTCCCCCAAAAAAAAAGAAGAAAGAACAAGAAACAAAGACGACGGTGGATTCACTTTGGAGTTCCCTTTAAAACCACTGAAAAGGGGCACCAACAAAACGATGCGTCACCTTCATGAAGCTTCAGACCTGTCGCAGGATCCCTCCACAGGCCTGGGACGCCACCGAAAAGGATGGACCTCAGCTTCTCTTTCACCGATCTGTCGCAAAGCAATCAGGGGGAGCTGGAGCCAATTAGCTTAATGTTGACCCCAGATTTAAATAAACCTGCTCAATGATATGTGGGTGTCCCATATTAATAAACAGGGGTTTAATCATCCGGGGGTCAACATGATCGACTGCCTATTTGGGGATGGGTCAAGATTGAGGCACCAGCTAAACCGCAGGTTGTCCATGTTTCTTGACTCGCATCCCACACCCATCCCAAATGAGTCGACTCTCGCGATCTCCCGCCCATGTCCCGGCCGAGCAGCTGATGGATTTGGGCACCGCCTCGCGCGGGGCGGGTTCCAAGGCAGCGCTCTGGGGCTGCCGCCGGAGCCTGGGCCACGCTCAAGGCCAAGGCCTGCGACGGCGCCTCAGAAACTGCGCGGCTTCCTTTTGGGCGACGCGGCGAGAAAAACAAAATGGGGCGAAGCTCCGGTGGATTTCCGGGGAGTTGCTCAAAATTCCGGGGTACTTGCGGGTCTTCCAGGCTACTTGCTTGAAGTCCAGGGTACTTCTTGAGACATCAACCTAGGAGATGAACCACTGGAACCCTTTGATGTCCCCCTGACCCAAAGGCCCGGGTTTCTTCGGATTCGAACTGCCAGGGGCCTTGAAAGTGGAGAGCACCTCCGGCTCGATCTTCACCTGACCCGGGCCCAGGGGAATACGGCCATGTTTGGGGGGAGACCCCAAATGGATGGTTTCCTGATGGTCTCCCTTAGCCACCAACACATGGGTACCCTCGAAACAAGACAGACCCAGATAGAAGGAACCTCTTATCCCCCAGCTTTAAGGGAATATAGGAGGAATCTGCAATTTTGGAAGGAAACATCCCAATGATGCAAGCGCGATGTAATAACAAAAAACAATGGCCTTCAGCTCCTTGTCGATCGGTTCCCTCCTCTGCGCCTGGTGAAATGCGCTGATTTTCTGCCGAGTGAAATCGTCCCAAAGAGGCCCAAAACCCGCAGTGGGCTTTATAAAGATCCAACCCAACGGTTTTTATAAAACCCCATGTTTTATTCAAATTCCATGGCGCTACCAATTCGTTCGGCTTCCGGGCAGAAAACTTGCCGTATTTCCCACATGAGCCGCCTTCGCCTCCGCTTTCTTCGTCACCTGGCGCTCCAGACTTGCGAAGAGCTCTTGAAAGCTCCTGCACGGGACGTGTAAGGCTGGTGGATGCGTGCCTTTTATTTGAGGTCCCCTTGTTGCGGGATTGCAAGGGAGTTTAAAGGGAAAGCCAGCGCTTTGGGGGGGGGTTCCCCTAAAAGAAAAGGCACACCCAGGGAGTTGTGCATACCACCGCAGGTCCTCTTCTGCGCTTCGGAGCCTGGCATAGGCGCCTGCAACGTGGCTATCCCAAGGCGAAGCATCAGGAAGCATGGCCTTTGATACTGTTCATGGTTGCGAAGTCCATTTCGCCCCGTTCAGAAACCATGGTTTCTGATTCGATTCCCTCTCAAATAGCAATCGTTACAACCGTTTTGGTTTCAACCACGCTTTCAAAGTGGCCACGGTACCTCCAAAACATTGCCTCCCTTTGCAGGCTTTCCGCAGGCCGTAAGACTGAAGGTATCCCATCCCTCAGTCGTTCCAGTCCTGCGCTGTCTCCGAGGCGGGTCGGGGCTTTGCCTGGCAGTTGTAAGTCTTTCAAGTCTTACAAGTCTTCCAAGTCTTCGAAGACTTCCAAGTCTTCCAAGACTTCCAAGTCTTCCAAGTTTTTCAACTCTTCCATGTCTTCCAACTCTTCCAAGTCTTTCAAGTCTTTCGAGTTCCATGCTCGGCCCGTGGCCTGCACCGAGTTCTTCGGCGGCAGCTTGGGGTTCTTCGGCGGCAGCTTGGGGTTCTTCGGCGGCAGCTTGGGGCTCTTTGGCTGCACGGCTTTGGGCTTGGGCTTGGCCAGCGGGCTCTTCGGTCTCATCGGGCTCTTTGGCCTCGGATTCGACGCTCGGCTCGAGGGCGTCACCCGGGCGGCCGGCGGGCACGCCGAAGGGGCGCCATACCGCGCGGCAAATGCGGCCGCCGGCTTCGCGGCTGCGCTTGGCTTGGCTGGCTGCGTCACTGGCACCGGTGCCGGCTTTGCCGGGGTTGGCGTTGGTGCAGCTGGTGCGGCTGCGGGCTTCGGTGCTGGTGTTGGCGTTGGTGCGGGTGCTGGCTTTGGCACTGGTGTTGACGTTGGTGACAGTGAAGTTGCTGGCTTTGGCAAGGGTGTCGGCAGTGATGTTGGTGCTGGCGCTGGCTTTGGTGAAGGTGTTGGCGTTGGTAGTGTCGCTTGCATTGGCGCCGCTGGCGATGGCGTTGGCAACGGCTTTGGCGCTTGTGCCGGTGCTGGCGCCGCTGTGTACGCCGGTGCTGGCGTTGGTGCCGGCGCTGTTGGTGGCACTGGTGGCGGAGTTGGAAGTGGCAGCCTCGGCTTTGGCGGCAGCACCAGCTTCGCTTCGGAGGTTGGCAGACTGAACGCCGTCAGCGGCCTCGGAAGAGCCTGGCGCAAGACATTGCATGGGTGTCTTTCAAATAGGGGGATCATCAAAACGGTGTTCCTTTTGGTTTCCCTTCAAAACCAACCCCAACAAAGTACCCTGAACAAAAAACGAGCCCCCACCCCCGTGTGCCTTAGCTTTGCCGGCATTGGCCTCCCTGCGGGCCTCAGGTTTCAGAGATCCATCGCTCCCTCATGCCTGCTCTTACAAACAAAGCCGGGGCCGTACCTGGCCAAACACTAGAGAGCCACCAAGGTCATAGGAATAAAAAGGACATGGAACAATTCGTGAGCCCCCTGGGTGTCATAGCTCGTCCCCCGTCTCGCAAGGACAACAAACCGGATGATTTGACCGAACCTCGCATGTGTTCGGTATAGATAGTGGCTGCTTCGTGCATATGACTGTGCACAAACCTGAGTGTCCCCACTGCTTCGCCTGCAGGCACTTGCAGGCTGACAGTCACAGAGATCATCTAGGTGATTGGCTGGAATTCATATGGCCATGAATGTTAATTCGGGACCCTCTGGTGGACATTAGGTGCTGATTCATGTCCACCAACCCCTTTCAAGGGGGTTCCTTCATGTAAAGTCATGGCCATATATTTACGCCGCTTGCCACATGGCCATGGGTCAAACTCAAAACCGTACCCCGCAAAATGAAAGATCCCACTCCCCACAAAAAAAAAAAAAAAAAAAACTAAAAACTGGGTGGTGAATTCCCCTCCCCAAGATGGGATCCACCAAAACGGTCACATGACCACAGCCATGGGGTTTTTCGCCCCCCCCCCTCCCCCCCGGTTGCCCGCACCTTGAGCTGAAGCCGGCCTCAAGGCGCTGATCACTTCAACTCAGCGGCTAGCGAGGGTCACCCTCCTTCTGGTGGCGTTAAAAAGGAAAACCAGTGGGGAAAAAAACAAACACACACCATTTTGGGGTGCCCTAACAAAGAAAACACTAAAGGAAAACCAATGGAGGAAAACAAAAAAAGCATTTCGGGACGCCCTAGCAAAGAACACACACACACACAAGTGGGGAGTTTTAGCCTGGCGGACACCCACAAGAAGCGCATGTTAGACATTCCTGTTGCAGATCCTTCGCGCTTCCGGGCGAAGCCCTTGCAAAAAACCACAAAAGCTGCCAGGAAAGCAGCATCAAACCAGAGCGAAGAAACCGGCCTCGGTTCTTCCACCGTCCTCTCCTCAGTGCAGAAAACAAGTGATGTGCCGGTTGACCACAAAAAAAATGGACTGGGGCAGTGAGATCACCTTTCTGGGGCTGCAATTCCTGAATCTTTGGTGTGTCAAATGGGTCTGAGCCAAGATTAACCCACCAGGAAAGTTCCCAGGGCAACCCATCAGGGTACCCACTTTTTGACCCACTGCCAAAGGTGAAACAAACACCACAAGGACCACACAAATCTCTTTGGGTGTGTCGCTTGGTAGACCCAGAAATGGCAGAGGACCCCCGGAAATGGCACTTCCCCCTTGGCTCCCCTGCAAAACCCACAAAAATGAGTACCCTCCTCCCACGAACACGGCACTTGACAGGAGCTACCTTTTATAGCTGATCTTTCGGGCACCTCAAAAAAAAACCATGCCATGTTAGTGGGAAGGCCTGCTAAGAGTTAACTTGTGGCTTAAATTCGGAGAAGAAAAAACAACTAAACCAACCAAAAGCACGTTTTTAGTTTGTGGGTTAAGTTTGGAAACTACCATCAACTGAAACCAAAAAAAACACCTGAGGGGATGACCAACGAAAAACCGGAAGAACCACCCAAAGCAACCGCATGGCTGGGGATTCTTCGCCCCGCCTCCAGCACCTTTTGCCAGCGCTTGCCCAGGTCCGCCAGCATCTGTGTCAGATCTTGGCCCTCCTTTGGAGTGTCCTGACGGCGGGAGAAAAAAAAGGCTGGAGGTGGGCTGCAGGGTGTGTCAGGGTGTGTCCTTCTAAGGTTGGACACACCAAAATGGCGGTCTCCTTGTCGTGTGGCTTTCCTTTACACAAAGAACCCACCAAAACGGCTTCGACTGATCATTGTTTTGCATTCCTGTTTGGGAACCGCTTCCTCAGGTGAGGGCTCACTGGCGTGTTGTCAGTTTCGTATGTTTGAAGGCAACACTGAGTAAACCTCAGTTCCTGAGCGGATGGCCAAAACAAATTCAAACCTTGTGTATGCCACTAAGAGGGTCTTCCTGAAACAAATATCAGTCCATGACCTCAGGAAGTGAGAAACTGATGAGAGTTTCTATGTTGAAACCGTCGCTGGGGCTCGAAGCAAATGGGTCAAAATCCCGTACTCCGCCAGTGAACATCCCAATCCCCACTATAGACTAAAATGGGTGGTGAATTCACCCAATCCCCAAAATGGGACCCCAAAACGGCCAAATGACCGCCACGGCCAAATCTGCGCTTTTTCGCGAGCCAAGCGGCTGGCGGGGCTCCCGAGCCCGCGGCCTCCTGGCGAGTTGGGGCTGGGGGAAAGGGAGGGGGAGGAGGGGAGCCCAAGTAGCCCATGGCAAAGGCTGCGGCTTTTAAAAAAAAGAAAGAGAGAGGCTTCTTTGGGCCCCGTTCTCCTCTTTTTCTCCCGGCCCAGCCCCCATGAGGCTTTGCATCGAGAAGAAAGTCGTGTCTATCGAGTCTTGATGTTTTGCAGCTGAGGCATGCGGCATTCGCAGCCCAAAACTTTGATGGTTAAACGCATGTGCTTGCCTCCGTCCAAACGTTTTATGCCCGCGATCATCCTGGCGGCTTTAAACTGCTGTGACTGCCAACACGTTGATCGAACAGGGTGCAGAAGTGAACAACCGTGTGGCTCAAGCTGTGCCAAATATGTCGGGCAACCAGGAGGCTTGAGGCGGAAAGCTCCACATCTGCCCCAGAAAAAAATGTGGACAAAAGGTGTCACATGGTTTTGCGCGCCTCGCGGGCGGTTCTTGGGGGCTAAACCATGCTGCTGCATCTGCTATGATTTCGCTCTAGGTCAAAAACAGGGTAACCCCAAAGTGGGTTTGCCCGGTAAATGGAAAACACGCCTACAACCTGCGGTCATTTATTTAAGCCCGTGCAAACACTGCACTGCGCAACACAAAAATCGGTGCCTGAGAGGACACCGGCTGCAGGTCGTAGCCCAAAGGTTGACCTGTGCCCAAGTTCTCGTTGCTTCCAAACGTTTGGTTTCAAGCCACAGCGTCCAGCTTCTTAGGAAAGAACAAACATACCGTCGGAGCCTAAGTCTCAACTGCCCTTCTCCCGTTCTGGCCCATTCCCCGTTGCCACCCTCTCGTCACCACACACGCAGATGAGATTCCCGACCAAAATCGACCCAAAACCCATCCCAACCAGTCAATTCCCACCACAAGCCCTAACCTCCCAACCCCCCAACCCTCCCCCCCTCCCCCAACCCCAGCCCCCCCAACCGACGTCAATGCCCCCCCTCCCCCCCCCCCCCCCCCCCGAAATCGCCTTCCTCCAGCTGCGCCCGGAACCGCACCACCTCCCCCACCGCGCAGTTCTTCAGCTGCTCCGGGAAGACCACCACATCGCGCCCGAAGAGCTGCCACGTGGCTTGGCACGAGATGAAGCCCACTCCTCGCGCTTTTTCAGCGGCGAGTGAGGAGTGACGAGTGGCGAGTGGCAAGTCTGGAGCTTTTCCGCACAAGCCGACTTAAACTGCAGGGTTCCCCCCCTTTTGTGGTTAGCCCGAAACCGCCATGCATTGACGGTCGGTGGTTGATTTCCTCAGGAGAAAACCCTCTGGGCTGTTTGGGTGTGAATTTGAAGAGGGGAGCCTTCGGTGGACATCATTGAGGTGGGGACCCACCAACCACCTGTGAGGTGACACCCAATTAAAATTCAAAACCATTTACTGGACCAGTTCTGCTTCACGAAGTTGGCACCCGGAGCCACAGGCCCTGTCCTACAAGTTCCAAAATATAAGAACTATGGCTTTCGTTCTCGTTCTGCTCTTCTGTCTTCTTCTCTTCTTAGCAATTTGTCATGTTTCTGTATTTCTTGCTTTCCCTTTCCTTTTTAGTTCTTTATTTTCTCTTGTTTTCTTTCTTTTCTTTCTTTATTGCTGTCCTTTTTGATATTTGATTGTCTACTGTGCTTCTTTGTTTCTTTCTTTCTTTATGTATTTATTTTTGTGTTCTTTTCTTTCCTTCTTTCATCTTTCTGTCTTTGTTTGTTTCTTTTCTCCTTGTTTACCTTTCCTTTCTTTCTTTCTTTCTTTCTTTCTTTCTTTCTTTCTTTCTTCTTTCGTTCGTTCGTTCCTGCCTCCTTCCTTCCTGCCTTTCTTTATTTCTCTTTCCTTGTTCGTTCCTTCCTTCTAGCCTTCTTCATGTCTTTTTTTCGCCCTTTTCTTGCTTTATTTGTTTTTGGCCTCTCTTTCTTTCTTTCTTTCTTTCTTTCTTTCTTGCTTTCTTTCTTTCTTTCTTTCTTTCTTTCTTTCTTTCTTTCTGTCTGTCTGTCTGTCTGTCTGTCTGTCTGTCTGTCTGTCTGCCTTTCTTTCCTTCTTTTTTCCTTCTTTCCGTCTTGCCATCTTTCCTTCGTTCCTTCTTTCCTGCTTTCCTCCCTCCCTCCCTCCCTCCCTCCCTCCCTCCCTTCCTTCCTCCCTCCCTCCCTCCCTTCCTTCCTCCCTCCCTCCCTCCCTCCCTCCCTCCTTCCCTGCCTTCCTTCCTTCCTTCCTTCCTTCCTTCCTTCCTTCCTTCCTTCCTTCCTTCCTTCCTTCCTTCCTTCCTTCCTTCCTTCCTTCCTTCCTGCTTCTCCCTTTTCCATCCTTTTTCCTTTCCTTCATTATCTTTTTCCTCACTTTCCCTGTCTATCAACCTGTCTGCTTTCCTACCTATGTTAAGATGTTTTGTCTACCTATGTATTTGTCCACCTGTTTACCAATCAAATCAATCTAGCCATCAGTCAACCTATGTCCTCTATCTAAGTATCTATATCTCTTTCTCATCTGTCTATCTACCAATCCTCTATCGAGCTATGTGTAAACTTTATAACCTACCAATCAATTTATCTGGCTATTTGCTATCTGTCAATGTCATCTCTCTTTATCTGACTGTCTATCTATCTACCGATCTACCTACCTATCTAGCTCTCTATCTACACATCTTTCTACCTGTCTAGAAATATCTACGTCTTTCTATTTCTCTCTCCATCCAGATTTCTATCTCTATCTATCTACCTGCCTACTTGTTCTGAAGGGAAATCTGCACATGACCTTGCGAAAGCGCTGCGCCTGACCCTGCAGAACGTGCAAAAGCCTGAGCCTGCCAAAGCGCCGCGCCTGCCAAGACATCTGTATCTGACCTTGCGCAAGCGCTGCGCCTGCCACAAACCAATGTTGTTCGTGCCAACGGGCTCGGCTCCGAACGAGCTCCGAGCCTGCTCCGAACGCGCTCCGAGAACCAACTTCCTTTGATTAGTAATACCGGTGCCTATCCAATGACTTGAAAGTAACATGACAACGTTGGGCCGTGGGTCAAGGGTAGTCCGCATGTGCATTCAAGCCTACCATCGGGCAATCCTTTGACACGGCTGGTGTTCTTGATGATGCCAGTGTAGACCTCCGGATTGCGCGATTCTCCGCATCGGAGCAAGGCACGCTGCATCTGGTCCGCGGTCATGTCGACCTGCATGCGTGTGCACAGTAGCAGGCAAAGCAAGTTGCAACAAGTATTTTCGGACCATCTGGAATGCAGTCAACGCCGTTGCGCGTCTGCACAGCCAGCTTGGACTTGCCAGTCCCAAGGCTGTCCACAGGCGTCGCTGATCCAAACAACAAAGTTTCGTCTCGAAAAAACCGACTGCAACCTGATCTGTCGATAGGCTCTCTGAAGCATCTCGCCTTCCGTCGGCGTCTGGCGCGGGGGCGACCTCTCCTGCATGCGGAAGGGCAGACTGTCCAAGCTCGAGCCTAAATAATTCATGCTTTGCTTGACGAGTCATCTAACTGATGATGGTGCAAGCGCCAACCTGACATGGGTTCAGGCACTGGTGGGGCGAGTCATTTGAGCAGAACTGGTTTCGCCTTTCCAAAGTCGCCAATCATGCCAGTGCAGAGACTCCTTGAGCGGGGACGTGCTCGAGCATGGCCCACTCTGCTGCCCGAGGCCTCTGCAACGACATGCTGCAATGACACACAACTGCGTCTGGTGACTAACGCCATTGGAGTGTCTTGTTTTGACGATTCAATGATAACAATTGTTGTGTGGTTTAAGGGGAAATCAGAAGGCAAGCAATAAGTTTGGAGGGTCCCCCCCCAAAAAAAAAACAGCAACAAGAACACAAACCCATTGGATACAGTTTCACACCACCAAAGTGGAGTGCCAATTACGCGCCTCTGGGGCTTCCGCTTCGAGAAGTTCGTCAGCTTCCTCTTGCCCGTCATCCAGGCCGCCCAGACTCGGGTCCAACTCAGCATCGCCGGGCTGCAACTCAACGAATTCACCTCCCGCGTCCACCTCGCCCTCCAAGTCACCCTCCACCTTAACCTCTACATCGCCCTCAGCCTCAAAGTCGAGACCGTCGCCCTCCAAGTCGCCTTCAAAGTCACCCACGTCGCCCTCCACATCAGCCTCAAAGTCGCCTTCGAAGTCTCCCTCTAAGTCACCCGCCGGGTTGCCCTCGAAGTCACCCTCCAGGTCGCCCTCGAAGTCACCCTCCGGGTTGCCCTCGAAGTCACCCTCCACGTCACCCTTAACTTGGATATCCACATCTTCCTCAAACCCAACCTCACCTTCTGCAAGACCGTCTTCTACGTCCTGAAAGGCTTTGTGCTGTCCAAAGAAGAAGGCTTCACAAAACCCCTCCTTAAAATCTTCAACCAGTCGTCTCTCAAGCAACTTGGACGCTCCTGCGGCCCAGGCCTTCTCGCATCCCGTCTCCTGACAGCTTCCAGCTCGCAGACATCCCCACAGCTCCCATACGTCCTGCGGCGGCCGCCTCTTGGTCGCCGGACTCTCCGGGCCTCACTCCCGAACAAAAACGAAAATCGACACGTGCAGAGAAGCCTCGGGGGGCTAAGGTCCCAGCGTCTCTGCCGCTGCCTCCTTTCCCTCCTTTCCCTCCTCCTTTCCCTCCTCTCCCTCCTTTCCCTCCTTTCCCCTTCACATCCTTGTAGTGTTTGCCTTTGCCATTTCCTTTCCGCACTTTGCCCTTTCGGCTGCCTTGGCCTATGACTTCGGGCATGGCACTCAGCGTGCATGGCTTGCAGAGCCATCTCCTGCCATGCCCAAGCGAACGCCTGAGCTGTCTGGCTGGGTCTGTCTGAGCCAGTTGTTCCCGTGAATGCTGGGTTGATTCAGAGCAGATTCCTCAGCTCACGGATATATAAATATATACACGGTGCATACATGCTGTGTGTGTGTGTGTGTGTTCGTTGTGCACAAGAATGGTATGGTGCATCATGTGCATCACTCACCGATACCATGCTCGAGCCACATGTCTAGCTTGGCCCTATTCTGACAAATGCGCGTTGTGAAGCAACTTGTATTCTAGGCACAGAAGACCGGATCATTGCCTGACCGTGCTGGATCAATTCAAGTCAGCGACAACAAGCAGCCCCTGTTTTTTAACCTTCACCAATCGCTAGGTCAGCGTTGGCACGACTTTGCACAAGCGACGCTGATATTCCATAGATCTCGCATTCCGCAGGTTGCTCGAGGCCAGCATAGAACGTGCTTGCAACGACCGCACCATTCGTTGCTTGACAGGCATGCAGGCAAAGAAAGAAACCAACCATTCTTCGTGGCTAGCTTGCCTCTCAAAACAAAGCTTGAGGGCATTGCACTGTCCTGTGCTACGCGTCGGGCATCTAAGCTGCTACGAGAGACATCCGGTGTGAGACTGCCACAATTTTGCTTGCTCTGCCAACAGCAATCCCAACGCTTCAGGGAGCTTGTGGGAATACGCGCAATCCAATCCAAGCCTGACTCAAAAGAAATCCATTTGTGGTTGTTCTGGGTGCACATGGAGCAGTTTTGTTTTTTGTGGGAAACCAAAGGGAAAATAGGGGGCTCCCTATTTGGGCACAAAGCCTCTCGGGATCCCTGGCCGAGCAAACCCTAGAAGCGACATGGGCCCGGTGCGGGCGAATCCAAAAAGCGGCGCACGCGGCCTTGCGGCGAGCCCCTGAATTGGTCTGAGTGGCATCCGCAAATCAAGTGTCAAGGTGTGCCGCATCGCCCCTTTGAAGCTCCAACGCCCTTTGCTCGACCGTGCCTCACCTGGGTCTGGTCTGTGTTTTGGGGTGTGACCGCCATGTCCCTGAACTACAAAAGGCTCCAGTACCAGTAATTCTGTCAACTCTCCGCCATGAAACCTGTCGGCCGTGGCTCCCTTAGGAACCTAAATGATTGTCTACAAACCCCTTTAACGGAGTGATGCCATTCCCCCAACCGGTGAGTAAAATGGTCGTAATCCCAGAACCATGTGAAGAATTACGAAGGCGGCCGCGGCTATTCATGGCAAGGGGATTGTCCCTGACTAACCTTCATCAACCCGGGCTTTGAGAAAGATGAACCCAAATGATTGCCAGGAGAGATTGGCCCAGGAACCCACCTCAATAAACCCATTGATGCCATTCTCCCAACCTCAGGTCACTCGGTTGACGTTGGACGGGGAGCAAAACATATTAACTTTTAGCAGTTGAGTGGTTGAATCTCCGCCACTGAACCACAATAAGCAAACATGTAAAATGACAATGACCATAACCCTAATAACCATTTCCCCCATAAAATGTGTCCCAACCACCGCCGCTGAATTGCCCCCCCCCCCCCCTGGACCAAAAATTGGCCGCGCGGTTCTGCCTGCGTGAAGCCGGGCTCAGCTGCTGCTTCTTCTCCGCCGCCGGCTGCGGCTGTGCCCTCGACGGCGCCTCGGAAGTGGGGAAGGCCGGTGGAAATCACCTGGGCGCATTTTGGGTGGGCATGATTTCTAGCATATTGTTATCTAGAAGTGTAGTTTGGTGGACATGAACTTTGATATCCTAGCATACTATTACATGGTGGTTAGGCCTGTGTTGCCAGTTTTTCGGGTGCTTTGGTGGACATGATTGACAAACCATATTGATTCACGGCCACACGTGGCACTCCCTGGTTATAGATGTTCCAGGATCATACCTTTTTCCACTTACCCAGGGAAACCTACTATCTAAAGAGGTTCCTGAATAAGTTGAACAACTACATGGGTGTGTCTTTTTTCGGGGGACCCCAAACTTAAAACCTACCAAACAGGGGGTACCCTCAAGCAAACTGGGAACAAACACATGCTTAATCCCATGGCCCCCAAAGAGGCCCCCCCCCTCCCAAAGAAAAAAGGGAATCCTAATAGCACCCCATAGGCCTTGTCGCTATTAGCCCCCGTGAGGGGGATCCTACCGGATGACCATCCCAACGTTAACCCCCAGTAAACCAGTAAAGGAAACGAAATCTCTTTTTAAATGGCACTTGAATGGACCAGCCATGTGGGTTGTGGGTCAAAAACGGGGTAACCCCAAAATAGGTTGTCCTGGTGAATGGAAAGAACGATTAAACTCCACAAATAGGTTGCCCTGAATGGAGGGCGGTCCATATCCTGGTGACAACGAATTTTGGACCCGACGTCGGGTCCATGGAGCCCAACCGATTCAACTTCCGCGCCTGGAGCGATTCCGCCTGCGGCTCGTGGAGCTTCGCTTGCGGCTCTTGGACTTTTTCCTGCTCCCGGTGATGGCGAAAGGCGATTGACGTAAAACCAAAGGAACAAACATCACAACGTGGCTGGTCAACTTTGCTATGTATCCTAAACCAATTGAATATGCCTAGTGATACATAAACACTTTATTTCCATAGCTTCACAAGTCCAATTGGAACAAGCGGATCGAAACACTGTCAAACAGTAGTTCCAAACCCCCCCGCCCTTCCGTCCAAACCTGGGAAGAACATACATACACACCCACACTTGTGAAGCAAATTGCCTGGAGACCACCACTGACATGCAAAAACCCGGCAGACATCTCGCCCCGGAGCCTTCTCTTACTCTTGTTGTCCGAGCTATCGGACTTATCGCGCTTCTTGTGGCGACTCTTCGACTTGGATGCCCTGGCGTTTCTTCCGAGGCTTAGAGTCAGCGCAAAACCCAGCTTGAATCAGATGGGACGGGACTGCTTTGCTTTATTGTACCCTTTCAACTTTGTTTCAAGGCAAAACTGAGGAGTGGTGCTGACCCATTGTGGGGTCGGTGCACATGGAAGGAATTTGGTGCACATGTGATGGCTAGCAACATATACGGCTGTCTTTGTTGAGGCTAACCATTATGGGGCGTGTTTAACCAAGCAAAAGCCAAAAAAACAAACCACCCACCCATTGTGAGACACACAACCACATGAGGGTAACAAGATCTGCCGCTTACGGCAAGCTCGCCTGGGCGAAGAAACAAGCGAGCACCCATGTTGCAATGTAGGTCCTTTGCTTGAGGACCATTGGCTGGCTGAGGCCGCAGCGACTTTTTCCTCTTCTTCTTGCCCGAATCAGCCTCTCAAGAACCCATGGCGGCTTTCCGTGGCTGCCCATGGAACAAACCTGGAAAAGATCAGCGAAAAGCAACCAAATATTGACGACCTTGCCCCTGGAATGCCTGGAACCTTGCCTGGAATGCCTGGAACCTCAACTACAACTCTTCACAGAATCCAAACAGCGGACATTTTTACGGGCACAGTGCGGCGCATGTGCCCGAGGACGGCAAAAAGTTTGGCCGAGCTGCGGAGCTATCGCTGCCTTTTCGCTTGCGCCTTGGGTTCAATGGTTCCGGTGCTGCACCAATGGTGGCTCCGGATGAAGCGCACGCAGGTATGTATGTATGCATGCATGTATGTACGTACTTCTGTATGTATGCATGCGTGCACGTACGTCCATTCTGTGATTCATGCGTGTGATTAATCTACATATGTATGTGACCAATGTATGTACGTATGCATATATGCATGCATAGATGGAGGCATGGATAGTTGTACGCATGCATGCACGCATGCGTGCATGCGTGCATGCATACATGTGTGTACGTACGTACGTAAGTAAATAACGTATGTGATTAATGATGTATGCATGTGTCTGCTTGTGCGTGTATATGTGTGTATGTGTGTATATGTGCGTTTGTATGTGCGTGTGGGTATATGTCTGCGTGTATGTCTGTGCGTGCTTGTTTGTGTATGTGTGTGTGCACGCACGCACGTATGTATGTATGTATGCATGCATGTATGCATCTAATTATGTACGAATGTGTGTGCATGAATGTATGTATGTATGTATGAATGAATAAATGAATGAATGGAGGCATAAATGAATGAATGAATGAATGCAAAAATGAATGAAGGAGGGAATGAATGAAGGAGGGAATGAATGAAGGAGGGAATGAATCAATGAATGAATGAATGAATGAATGAATGAATGAATGAATGAATGAATGAATGAATGAATGAATGAATGAATGAATGAATGAATGGATGGATGAATTAATGAATTGATTAATTAAATAATTAATTAATGAATGAATTGATGAATGAATGAATGAATGAATGAATGAATGAATGAATGTATGAATAAATGAATGCATGAATGAATGAATGAATGAATGAATGCATGAATATGTACATGTGTACATGTGCACGTGTGTATAAATAATGTGGATGTGTGTGTATGTACTGTGTGTATGTATGTATGCATGCATGTATGTATGTATGTATGCATGCATGTATGTATGTATGCATGTATATAGGTAGGTAGGTAGGTAGGTAGGTAGGTAGGTAGGTAAGTAGGTATGTAGGTAGGTATGTATGTATGTGTGTATCTATGTTATCTGTGTATCTATATATCTATGTATCTATGTATGAATGTATGTATGTATGCATGTGCATGTGTGTGTGTATGCGTGTATGTGGATATGTGGGTATGGGACTGTGTATGTATGCGTGTCTGCGTGTGTATATGTGTATATGCGTGTGCATCTGTGTGTGTATGTGTGGGTATGTGTGTGTATCTGTGCATGTTTGTGTGTGTGTACGTGTGTGTACGTGTGTATGCATGTGTGTATGTGTGTATGTCTGTGTGTGCATGTGTATGTGTGTATGTGTATGTGTATGCATATGTATGTATGCATGCATGATGTATGTATGTATGTATGTATGTATGTATGTATGTATGTATGTATGTATGTATGTATGTATGTATGTATGTGGGTGTGTGTATGTATGTATGTATGTATGTATGTATGTATGTATGTATGTATGTATGTATGTATGTATGTATGTATGTATGTATGTATGTATGTATGTATGTATGTATGTATGTATGTATGTATGTATGTATGTATGTATGTATGTATGTATGTATGTATGTATGTATGTATGTATGTATGTATGTATGTATGTATGTATGTATGTATGTATGTATGTAT